CCGCGGGCTCAGGCAATCCACTCACCTCAGTCTCCCAAAGCACTGGGATTACAGGCTGAGTCACCGAGCCCGGCTCTTCCTGGCTTTCTAAGAAGCCTGAAAGGGTTGCTGATAGTGTCCCATTTTTATCTCTCCAGCCATGACTATTATTTCAGTGCATATCAGCCCAGTCTCCCTACTGCTCACGCCTAAGTCTTTTTGCAGAGGGTTTTCTGTGCCTACTCTACTTGTATGTATGCACTGGGCACTGATTGTCCATTTTTGTGGGAACAGCTTTCAACGGAAGATTGCCAGGAGCTGGCTACCAATCAATGACTGATGGAGTACCCTAGTTTCCTTGCACCCCAGGTGGGATAATTGAGATGTGTCTTTCACTTACTCCCCAAACTCCCAACAGGCTTATACTCCACAGTCCAAAGTATTGACGTGCTTGATAATGAGCACTTTTATTGGCTTCCTTCCATTCTATCTCAATTATTTATTCACTACTTGGTCTTTCCTGGTGTCATCTCCCAAATAAACTGCCAAAACTCAAATACTTGTCTCAGAGTCAACTTCTGATTGATGCAGTCTTAAGACAACTTCTAAGTTCCTAGAATCACACCCCACTTAAGAAACGTAGTTTCCTTCTTTGTGCTATTCCATTGTAGCAATACATTAAAACTAAAATGCTTCTCATCTCTTTTTATTAAAAATTTAAAAACAGAGGCCAGGCATACTAGTAGGCCTACTAGGAAGGCTGAGTGGGAGGATCACATGAGTCCAGGAGTTTGAGGCTGAGGTGAGCCATGATCATGCCACTGTACTCAGTCTAGGTTATAGAGTAAGACCCAGACAACAACAAGAAGAGGCCAGGCGTGGTGGCTCACCACTATAAAACCAGCATTTGGGGAGGCTGAGGGGAAAGTACTGCTTGAGCCCAGAAATTCAAGACCAGCCTGAAAACAACAACAAAAAACTAATATGCTAACGATATTGGGATATTACCTAATGGACTAAAAATTACCCACTCTATAATGTATAAGCCTTCTTATGAATTTTTAAGTATCTCTCTAAATAGACCTGTCCCTCAAGAGTAATACAGAGTTGTTTATCCCACACTGCTTCTTCACTCATTTGGCAATTGTTAAGAATAAAAAATAAAATGTCCCAGGAAACATACCAACTTGCTAAGATGGATGCTGCCGCATCAAACCTTAAATAGTTTTGCTTGCAGAATCATAAATTACAAGGCTTTACTTCACTTGTCAAAAATGGAAATGAATGCTGAGCATGGTGGCTCATGCCTATAATTCCAGCATTTTGGGAGGCTGAGGCAGGAGAATTACTTTAGCCCAGGCATTCGAGACCAGTCTGGGCAACACAGTGAGACCTTGTCTCTACAAAAAAAAAAAAAAAAATCAACCAGGAGGTGTCACATGCCAGCTACTCTGGAGGCTGAGGCAGAAGGATTGCCTATGCTCAGGAGGTTGAGGCTGTGGTGAGCTGTGAGTGTGCTACTACACTCCAGCCTGGATGACAGAGAGACTCAGGACCGCCCCCCAAAACTGAAATGAGTACCACTGATCTCCTTTAATTTGGAAGTAAATTTTTCTAAGCCATTCACTTACTCAATATTCAGAATTGAATGAGATTTTGTGTATTATATTTTCGTATCATAATGGGATATGATTATGGGACTTTTGGCAGGCTATAGCGAGGGCCCCAATTTAATTTAATTTTTTTTTTTTGAGTCAGAGTCTTACTCTGTTGTCCAGGCTGGAATACAGTCACCCAGGCTAGAGTGCTGGCATGATCATGGCTTACTGCAGCCTCAATCTCCTGGGCTTAGGTGATCCCTCTGCCTCGGCCCCTCCGAGTAGCTGGGACTACAGGCATGTCCCACTGGAAAATTTACTTTTTAAATTTTTTGTAGAGATGAGCTCTTGATATGTTGCCCAAGAGTTCAAGACCAGTTTAAGTGATCTTCCCACCCAGGCCTTGCAGAGTGCTAGGGTTACAGGCATAAGCTACCACACCCAGCCAATTTCTTAATCTTAAGTAACAATAAATAAAAAAAACTTAAAAGATCACGCTGAAATAAAAAGTCAGAATACAAGATGCATGTTTTCTAGCAGATCTTGCCACACCCAAAAAGGAAAAAAAGGTTAATTTAAATCCACTTTTTATTCTTTCATAGAGTTTAACAATTATACACAACTTTTAACATAAAGGTAGTGAAACCCCATGGATAAGCAGGCAATATATATGACCTCTCCTATTCATTCTTCAGGATAGAAGGAAATTTCCAAAGGGTACAATGTGTGAGATTTAACACTGGAAAAATACATACGAAACTTATTTAACTGGCTCCACTTAGGACCAGGCACAGCACAATAAATATAGACTGTATCAGCTTTTTAAAAGATTGTTGTAATTTTAACACATTCTCACTAAAGAAATATGATCAATGACCATTCTGAAATTCTATAACATATAGGTGAAGGGAGACTTACAATGAATATCTGAACAGTGTTTCTCTAGCATCTTCACACACATACACCAACATTCTTAAAAGGAGTAAAAATGATTTCAAATTCAAAACAACAACAAAAAACAAATTTGGTCAAACTTTCCTCATCATTTCACTCATTACTATCACAATCCTAGCTTGCTGGTAGGTTTAAGGTAGGAATAGAAAGTTTTTGAAATCCTTTTAATTTCTAATAGGCTAAGGGCCTTTAAGTGGAAGGCCACATTGGAAGCAAACTGATTAAGAAGCACCACAAAGTCCACATCTCAACAAATCATTGTATAATTTCTATCTTCTCATATTGTGACAGGTTGAAAAGAGTTGTATGGAAGAATATCTTTCCTCAATAGCAGGCCACTGTAAACAGCAAGGATTTAAACAAAACTATACCTGAAGTCTCTACTGACTGCATCTTTCCTTAACAGACCAAAATAAATGTATTATCTAAAAATTTAAATAACATACTGAGGCATAAAATAAATATTTTATTTATGCTATTACATTTGGGTATTTGAGATTGTTAGACACATTCACACACCCTTTCCTCTTCTCAGAGGAAGCAGTGGTGCCAGCACTATTGGTCAGAAAGAGTTAATGGGAAACTGTTGCTTTCAGAGCTATTCTGCTGTGTGCCTTATTAGACAGGCAGGAATTGTTGTTTTTAAACAGAAACTCAGAAGAAAGAATAAAATGATCCTTTTTCTTCACATGACCCAGATTCTGTTATCAGCAGATACAAAATTAACTTCATCTCTGTTAGACAGGATAGAAATTATTATGCTGCTGTGGTCACTGATATTTTGAAAAATCTTTTGAACCAGTGAATCAAAAAACCACATGAAAGAAAGTTACATTTTCTACAACTGGTAAACTGTTCAAAAATTCAACAAGCAAAAAGACATGCAAACGTGTGACACATGTCATGATTTTACAAAAACATAATGCCACTCTGGCCCCAAGAATCACTATAGCCCAGCTGGTCCTCAAAGGTGCAAACAGCCTTTAACCACAACTATCTTCTCTAACATTTCACCACCATCACACTCCACATGATTCTTAGAAGCCTGGACTTCTAAGATATTGGAGGAAAAGAAAGAGTGATGTGGATCAAGTTTTCAGTGATTGCTTAAACGTAATTTTAAAAAGAATTTCCTAGTACTTCAGTATATAATAGTCTTTGACATTGAATTTTTCCTAGTGAAATGAAATATGCTTTAACAAAATGATGTTGATCTAAGTTTGACTGCTTGGGTCTTTTTTCACTTTTTTAGAGGGTACTGATTCATATACTGTGCTGAGCCCACAAATGCCTGTTTTAAAAACATTATTGTTCTCAACAGTTTCCCATAAGTATTCCTGATTTATACTGGGGGAAGCAATGCATAATTGGAACGTTCACCATTCATGTTTAAGTATTTCCTGCAAAGCAATTACGTTGCAAAATGCTAAGCTGCAAATGACCTTACCACAATAGATACTGAGTTACTTCACAAAATACCTGTCAAAAGGTATAGAAATCTGGTCCACCATTCCAAATCCACTGCAAAGAGCATACATGCAGTAGTTCTGTTTGCAACTTAACGGAGATGAGGAAAGGGCCAACCTAGGACAAGGAGGGTCATCACCCTAATACATGTTTACAGTAGTGTAGCCATCGTATTTACTACATTCACCACTTCGTACAAAGGATCAAGGAGGCCCTTCACAACACTGGAACAAAGGAATGTTTGTTTTATATAAGACCTACCAAAAAAACAGGGCAACAAACGGCAACATACATAGGCACTAGTCTCAAAGTTGCACAATAAAGAAGCAAAGGTTTTGAGATGAGAAATTTAGGAAAATATACACATAGGAGGTTGCTGAGGAAGGGAAAGAAATCACAGTTCTAATCTTCAAGGCTACGGAATGCATTCTGCATATCTTCAAGAAGCTGTGCATAGTCGCTCTTGATCTTTGCCTCACCGTCTTTCACTGGGTCCTGAAAAAAGACATTACAAATTCAATTTACTGTTGGAAAATGACTTAGAATGTGTGGTAAGTTACTTGGTATCTTATATATTTTGAATATTAGGTTAAGTGATGTACACTGGTAAGCCACAGGCAGGAGTCAAAACTATCCTCATATTACTTTTTGAGTTGGAGTTTCACTCCATCACCCAGGCTGGAATGCAGTGGCACGCTCATGGCCACCCCAGCGTTCACCTGCTGGGCTCAGGCGTTCCTTCTGCCTCAGCCTTCCAAGTAGTCAGAACTATATGCGCACGCTACCACGCCCAGCTAATTTTTTTATTTATTGTGGAGACGGGGTCTCACCAAGTTGCCCAGGCTGTTCTCGAAACTGTGGGCTCAGGCAATTCCCTCACCTTGGCCTTCCAAAGTACTGGGATTACAGGCTTAAGCCACTGCGCCTGGCCTCCTTTCTTAAGGGTAGAAATGTATCATGTGTTCGAAACAGAAAGAAAATAAAATTTTAAATTTATCTTTTGCCTGCTAACTGCATTCAGTGACCAATGGCTTTATTTTCAACAATGTGCACAATAGTGGGAAATTATGCAGCATCACATAGTAGATGCAAATGATTTATCACATATGAAAATGAGGAAGTAATTTAATCAAAACAGACTTATTCTAGGTCTGGTAGTATCTCACTGGGATGGCAAAGTAAAACTTGGAAAATAACATTAAAATGCACCCATATTTTAAATCCTTATGGAAGACAACTTAATCAAGTAATATGCCTAAAATAGACTTTTAAGTGTTCAAGCTCCCTGACCCAATCATTCTCCTTGGACTCTACATTAAGAAAGTACACAAAACCAACTACACAAACAATTACATGGTTGTTCATACATAACTGGAAATTTTCTAAATGCCTAAGAATCAGAAAATATTATTCTCCAGCTACAAAATAATGCTATAGAATATCTAATGACATTAAAAAATGCCTGTGATGTTTATTTGATACAATGAGCATGTAAATAGAAAAAAAAATCACCCATACAACCAGAAATTATCACTACTAAAGATACATTTCTTTTTCATCCTCATCCTGAATAGTTTTAAAGGCAACACTTGGATCAAATATACATATGGACTCTTTTTCACTCTATACTAGTATTACGCATTTCTCTACGTCTTTGGATAGCTTTGAAAAAAAAGATGTTAATGCCTTCATAATATTCTATTTTATGGACATACCATAAAGTGCTGCTGGCTTTGTTCATTCTTAGATGACATTTAAAAAGTTAGATAAACAATCTTTTACACATACTCATATCAAAACATATCTGATTCCTTGGTTTATGTATCTCAAAGAGGAATGATAGAACCCAAGGTGTGATTATTTGGAAATTCTGATATAGTGAGTATCTATTTGTACAAGTTTACTTTCCATCTATATATAGTGTAAACAGACATATACTATATAAACATATATACACACGCAGATATATACATATATATTTTTTAAGTTTTATATTACATATACAGTCAGAGAATCATTCTCAATAGGTGACTAGTAAATATGCCTGATGCCATGACTTAGAAATAATTAAATACAATTCAACTGATCAACTCATATTAAGTTTCTACTACTAAGTCATTTAATTATCTATTTTCAACTTGTGTAACTCCAAAAAAACAAAAGGCCACTTAAAAGTTAAAAATGATGTGTAATACATGACAGCTACAAGAAGTAAACAGAGCAGATGTCATTTCAGAAGAACATGGAGGTTAGATGCTAACAGATACTTAATGTAAGGTAATTGCTGCTCAGCCATGAATTAGGCTCTAAATTGTCCAGCAGTTAAGACAAAAGGGAAAACACGTCAGCATTTATTTTAGACATGACATACTATAATTTTTATCATTGGAATTCCTACTTGAACATAACTTTGAGGCCTGTAACTGGTTTTACACAACCTGGGCATGTACGAAAATGATAAACAACAGGGCTTGAGACTCGAGTAGTCAGAAAAATTAAAAAGAACCATTTCCTACTAAAAAGTTTCAGCAGAAACAAAATATACCTTGAATTTCATGGAGGAAAGTTTATAGAGGATCTCTCCCATGTGCTCACGGATAATGGACCATGTGATTTTATTGTCACTCTGGGCAGTAGTTTCAACAGCTCTACGGGCCATATCATAAAATGCAATCATGTTGGACAGCATCCCCACTGTCTTGTAGAATGGGCAGAATCTAGGATACATGAAGGTCAGAAAGATTAGCAAAAACAAATTCCAAAGCAGTTTATACTTTATATCGATAATCCACCGGAGCATTAGCTTATTTAAATATATAGACTGCTTATATTTATTGGAATGAAAAAAGAATAGTGGAGAAGACTATTAGCTACTTAACCAGAGTGCTTGGACAGAAATGGATACAGGATAGATGAATAGATAGAAATATATATTCATTTATTTATTTTAAGGGTGATTTTTTTTTCTGCTGAAATCATCAAAAAGGAGAAAATGAAACAGTACTGCTATAATCTAATGACTCTCCAAGAGTTTGTTTTTATACAATGCAGTTAAATAAGTAACCAAAATGGTAAAAAAACCAAGTTGTACAGACTTACTCGTGATAGTGGGGTTAAGGTTTAATGAGTAAAAGGCAGGAATCTGAAAGTTCCTAAAGTTAATAGCAATCCTTTTCCTCTTTAATATGGTTCATTTTCAATTACCCATAACCTTGACCACATACATTCTTACCAATTTTCTGACACATTTAAACACATTTGCATACACAATTCCACAAACACTCCTGTGACAGCTTTTCCAAAGAATTTTTCTGTTGTTGAGCTATTTTTATGTGGGTGATTCCTAGAGCTTCTTAAGTTCCTGATACATCAGATTCCTGAGGCTTACTGATACACTGGCATATTTTTTGCTTGCCCTACTGATAATCCTTCTATTTGTTCAGGTCCCTTTTCAGTCTTATGTAGGGCCAAATATGATTTGGGGAAAAAAAGACAGCTTGGGATGAAAGGGCTCAAATTCTCAAAGTTTAAAAGAAATGGGAGCTTTAAATAAGCCTCAGTAGTAGCAGAGGCAGTAATGGAAAAAAAAAAAAAATCACCAGACAAGAGTTGTAGGGCTATAAAAGAGACTTTGGTAGAAAGAAAAAAGGACTCAGAAAATAAGGTATGAAAGCAGAACATAATTATTTAGAGAGTAAAAGAGACATGGGCAGTGGAAAGAATTGACGAAAGCTTGTGAGGAAGGCAATGATCCCTAGATCTGCACACTATGCCACAATTTAATCTAATTATGGGTGACCATATGAGTAAAAATACTGTCATAATTGGACTAATGAGCAAATCAAGACAAAGGGACATATTAGATTACTGAATGTCTGCCATGAACATATGAAACAAACCAATATATTGAGCCAGAGTGTATGAACCTATATGAGAAATTTTAAACGTTTTTTAATGTGCAGGCAGCTCCTTTACCAAAACATAATAGAAAATCCTCAAATAAAAAAGAAATCAGTATAACTTGCCTATCATAAGGAGTATATCCATTTTGTTGTAGGAAGTCATCTTTGATAAGTTTTGCTACCTCCAGAGTGATTTTATCTGTTTCTGCTAAAGAAGCCTAGAAGAGACAAAGACATTTTTAGAAATTTACTTCCACAATGTGGGACTGATGGTGGCAATCAATTAATAAGCAGAAACTATGCAATCAATATGCAATCACTTATCATTCACAATTCACTTTATAACTGCTTTTTAAAAATTGTTCTTTTGTATTGTGGTTAAAAAAAATTTGCCATCTTCTCCATTTTAAGTATACAGTGCAATAGTATTATATATATTCACATTATTGTGAAACAGATTTCCAGAACTTTTACATCTTGCAAGTCTGAAACTATGCACATTAAACATTAACTCCCCTTTCTCCCCTCCCCCAGTCCCTGTTAATCACCATTCTGCTTCTATTAATTTAACTATTTTAGATACCTCATATAAGTGAAACCATATAGTATTTGTCTTTTTGTGACTAGCTTATTTCACTTAACATAATGTCCTCAAAGTTCATTTGCGTTGAAGCATGTGACAGGATTTCTTTCCTTTTTAAGGCTAAATAATATCCCATTGTGTATATATATATATGTATATATATACATGTATATATATCACATTTTGTTATGCATTAATTCATCAATGGACATTTGGGTTGCTTTCACTTCTTGACTATTGTGAATAGTGCTGCTAGAAGATGGGAGTGCAAAAAGATTGATGTTTTTCCTTTGAAAATACTTCTTCATGTCTTGGCTTGCTATCTTCATTATTTGAATGCTCAGGCTTAAGTTCGTTTCACAAAAATCTATATAGCCCATAAACAGTTGAATTTTTAAAAAACATTATGTGATATTTATATTTATAGTAAGTTGTACTTATCTGTATCTGAGTGCTATCCTATTGGTATAGCAAAGTTACAGAGCTTCACCTTTAAATATCACCACCTCATAGGTAGTGATATAAACTTTAACAATCACCCTATGAGCCTTGAGAGATAATACTTGTGTTGCTAGGATCACTAGCAAGCAAAGACTTCTCAGTAGTGGGAAAGGAACAAGTCCAATAAGTTAATTGTATTCTGGCATTAGTTATGTACACTGAGCTCCTTAGGTAAGGATCAGGTCTTCTGTTTCCTTCTTCTTCTTGTTAAATGTCTTTTATCCCTCGTCCTTTCTTCAACCACAAGTACACATTACAATGTGTTTCATATGTATCCTTTTATTTGTATAAATTCATGTAAAATGTGTATTTTTTTATTTTTATTATTTTTAAATGTTTGTTATTATTTTTTTAGTTGGGGGTCTCACTGTGACTCCAGGCTAGAGTGCGAAGGCATGATTACAGCTCATGGCAGCCTCAGCCTCCTGGGCAATCCTTGTACCTAGAGTTTCCCGAGAATCTGGGACCACAGGCACATGCCACCATGCTTAGCTAATTTTTTTTAGCAACAGGGTCTCTCTATGTTGCCCAGACTGGTCTCAAACTCCTGCCTCCTCCCTATTTTACCCCAGAAGAGGGCACTCAGATTTACTCTAATTTTCCCCCAGCACAATCATCTACTTAAGAGCCTGTCTGAGAATTTCTTTGGAGATAAATATCCAGAAGCAGCACTGCTAGGTCTCAGGGTATGCAAGCAAGTTCCATCAAGACTGCTGTCCACAATGAGAGGACCAGGTGATCCACTCACTGTGAGTACACCAGTACACCAGTTCTCTATCCCCACAACACTTGGTAACACTCAGCTTTCTAATTTTTGCCATCCTAACCACTGTAATGTGATATCTCATCATTGTTTGAGCATTTCTCCACAGGCCTATTCATCTTTGGGGTTTCCTCTTCAATAACGAGTCTATTCTTTCCTTTGGTCGCATCTGTTGGGGTTACAGTTTTCTTGTTAACTTACAGGAGATCTTTGTACATTTTAGATATTAGCCCATCAGTTTTAGACATTGCAAACTTACTCTCCCTATGTTATTTGTCTATTACCTTTATCTGTGGTAGGCCTTCATTAAACAAAAATTGTTACTAGTACTTAATAAGGGGTTTGTTTAAGAACCCTTTTTCCAACCCTAGATCACAAAGATATTCTCTTAATGTTCATTTTCTATTAACCTGAAAGTCAGACCTCTCCCTCTTAAATAGCTAATCTATCTAGAGTCTACCTTTGCAAGTAGAATTACGTAGCAATCCAATTTTATTTTTCTCCAACTAATAAACAGTTTTCCATCACTGACTAAAACAATCCTCCCCTCATTTGATTTATGGCACCATCTTTGCAATATCAATGTTGCATACAGTTAAGAGCTCAGAAGATTCAACTGGAAATTGAGTGGCATCACAATGAATTTACAGATTAAAGTGAAGTGGCATCTTTTTAATCAGTCATCTACCCAAGAGCATGAACTGTCTCTGTTTTTAAATCTTGTTTCATGTATTAATTTAAAAGTGTTTTCCATAGAATACATATATATTTCTGGTTTTTACACTCTAATTTTTGTTGTTATTGTGAACATCTTATTTTTAATTTTATTTTCGAATTGGTATTGCTACAAATCTCTTGATTTATATTTATAATGTATCAGGATAACTCAACCAAACTTTTAATATTTTTGTTTCTCTGTTAACTATGTTATTTTTCTAGTTATATGAGCACATTACACTACAAATAGTGACATTTTGTCCCTTTCTTTATAACTTTGTTTTTTTACATCATTGTTCAAGACCTCTGGTATTTGACTGAACATAAATAGTGATAGCAGGCATTTTTGTCTTAATCCTGATTCTTAAATGAAATGTATTTGAAATTTCTCCATTAAGTAAAATGTTTTCCCTAGATTTTAGCATCTAACTTTTAGCAGAATAAGGAAATTCCCTTCTATTCCCTGTTTGCTAAGAGGTTTCTAAAATTCCTAAGTAATAAACTCTAAATTTTTTCCACATTGATTAATCAGAGATATCCTTTTTCCATTACATTGGTGAATTAAAATAACAAATTTTTCTGTGTCTAATCATATCTGCATTCCTGAAATAAATTTAACTTGCTCATGATGCATTATTTTATTATTTTTAATACCCTACAGGATCTAGCAAACTTATATTTACTATTTTTATACCTACATCCACAAACAAAATGAGCCTATCATTTTCTTTTCTTGTATTGTCTTTATCTGGTTTTGCAGGTCTTCTGTTTCTTGATCCTCCTATAAGGGTACAGTACTCTATAAATAATGAGTATTTATACATGCTAGAATGCTAGCTATTTAATAATATTATCCTTTGTTGGAAGAAATTAGAAGGGGACTTTTTAAGATATAATAAAAAGAAGAGAACCAGGCAGATAATTCTTAGAATCCTAACTAGTATTGTATACTATTTGAGAAGACTTTAAATTCTGGAATTTTATTTGCCTAAATAAAATTACACCAGCTTTCTTTGAAACATCAAGACACAAGAATGTAAGTCACTAGCTTGAGGTCAGATACCAGATTATTAGAGGAACTAGAATCCAATTCTTCTGAAACCTAGCCCTGGTGCTCAAACAAAAAAATGTATGCTAATAAATCCTAACTCTACCATCGCTAATTCTGTTGGCGATGGGTACATTCCATTTCAAGAAATAAAAGTAAATCAACTGCTTCTTTTTTACCTACAATATACTCAGGACCATGCTAAGTACTATAGAGCAGGGGTCCCCCAACCCCTGGGCCGGTCCATGGCCTGTTAGGAACCAGGTCCCACAGCAGAAGGTGTGCAACGGGTGAGTGAGCCAAGCTTCATCTGTATTTACAGCAGCTCCCCATTGCTCACATTACTGCCTGAGCTCTGCCTTCTGAAAAATCAGTGGTGACATTAGATTCTCATAGGAGTGTGAACCCTATTGTGAACTGTGCATGCCAGGGATTTAGGTTGCGCGAACCTTATGAGAATCTAATGCCTGATGACCTGAGGTGGAGCTGAGGTGGTGATGCTGCTGCTGGGGAGTGGCTGCAAATACAGACTGATATTAGCAGTGAGGTTTGACTCCACAGAGACCATAATAAATCAATTGCTTACAGACTCAAATCAAAACCTTATCAGTGAGTGGTAAGTGAGTTGATGTACTTCAACTGTAAGGCTGCAACAGGTAGCAGGCTTTAAGTCAGAATCTGACACTTATTTTAGTCTACATGTGGCCTGCCCATTATTTTATTTTACCACTTCCATCCATGCCTCTTTTATTTTTATGGTGTGTTGTATAATTATTTCATTATATATTGCAACATAATAATAATAGAAATAAAGTGCACAATAAATGTTATGCACTTGAATTACTCCAAAACCGTCACCACAACCTGGTCTGTGGAAAAACTGTCTTCCACAAAATTGGTCCTTGAGGCCAAAAAGGTTGGGGACTGCTGCTATAAAGGATATAAGATTCCAATTAGTTTAAAAAATATCTAATAAATATTTATTTTGCCAGGCAAGAATCTGCATATCCAAGGTTTTATCTGTTCTTATAACACTTGTAGTACCCCAGATCTATCCTCCATGGTATTTAACAAATTACCTTTTCCCACAAGCTGTACAATTTCTGCCAGGTCTTCTTCTTCCTGCAGAATTTCCTTAGCTTTGGTCCTCAGAGGAACAAACTCTGTGAAGTGTTTGTCATAGTACTCGTCCAAGGCACGCATGTACTTGCTGTAGCTGATGAGCCAGTTGACAGAGGGGAAGTGCTTACGCTGAGCTAGTTTCTTATCTAAGCCCCAAAACACCTAATTAAAAAAAAACAGTAATTTTTCTTATAAATATAAGTTTAAAAAAATACTAAAGCATATTTGTTTGTCCTAAATATGCAATTCTATAATTTATTGGCCAAATTATATATTTTTTTATTATATACCAAGTGTAACTGAAATAGAATAAAACTTGCAGAAAATGTCAATTAAGAATGTATTCCCATTCAGGCTCGGTGGCTCAGCCTGTAATCCTGCGCCTTGGGAGGCTGAGGTGAGTGGATTGCCTGAGCCTGTGGGTTCGAGACCCACCTGGGCAACTTGGTGAGACCCCATCCCTCATCTCTACGATAAATCAAAAAATTAGCCGGGTGTGGTAGCGCGCGCCTGTAGTTCCAGCTACTTGGAAGGCTGAGGTGGAAGGATCGCCGGAGCCCAGGAGGTCGAGGCTGCAGTGGCCGGGAGCGGCCAATGGACTCCTGTCTGCACAACAGAGTGAGACTCCAACTCAAAAAAAAAAAAATTAGAAGGTATTCCCTTCATTTTCTGGGTGTATGGTAATACCTACAAATCAAATTCAAAATGTATCTAAATTGTCTTAAGTGTGTCAACTCTCATAACAAAAAGAAAAATGAATTCTTTTGAAGATTATTATGGTATATGTAAACAGTTGAACCAGAAAAGGCTTATTTATGTGAAACAGACACTTCACTTTGATTACAAACCTCTAACTGTTCTAATCAAATTCAGACCCCTATCACTAAGGCTTAATCTAGTATGATTTGACAGTGAGTTTTGTGAGTTCAAACACTGATATTTTATGTATTCCTAACTTTGTTCCCCCTTTCTCTGAAATTTAAAACTCAAGCCGGGCATTGTGGCTCACACTTGTAATCCCAGCACTTTGAGAGACAGAGGCAAGAGGACTGCCTGAGCTCAGGGGTTCAACACCAGGCTGAGCAACATGGCAGGACCTTGTCTCTATAATAAATAAAAAAATTAGCTGGGCATGGTGGCGCATTCCTGTGGTTCCAGCTACTTAGAAGGCTGAGGCAGAAGGATAGCTTGAGCCCAGCTGGGAGGCTGCAGTAGCTGTGAGCATGCTGCTGTACTCCAGTCTGGGCGACAGAGTGACTTAGACTCAAAAAAACAATTAACAAATAAAATTAAAAATTTTAGCAACTGTTAACATTTCACCTCAGCCATTTCTTTTTATCTGATGCTGACAGAAACATAGGTAAAGAGTCTGTTTTGTTTTTTTGGTTTTTTTTTGAGTTGGTGTCTCACTCTGTTGCCCAGGCTGGAGTGCAGTGGCATGCTCACGGCCACCATATCCTCCACCTGCTGGGCTCAGGTGATCCTTCCCCCTCAGCCTTCCAAGTGGTTGGAACTACAGTCACATGCCACTATGCTTGGCTAATTTATTTATTCATTGTAGAGATGAGGCCTCGCCAAGTTGCCCAGGCTGGTCTCGAACGCCTGGGCTCAGGCAACCCTCTTGTCTCAGCTTCTCAACGCGCTTGGATTACAGGCATGAGCCACTGTGCCTGGCTTTGTAAACATCTTTTTTTTTTTTTTTTTTGAGTTGGAGTCTCACTCTGTCGCCCAGACTGGAGTGCAGTGGCCACTCCCGGCCACCGCAGCCTCGACCTGCTAGGCTCCGGCGATCCTTCCACCTCAGCCTTCCAAGCAGCCGGAATTACAGGCATGCGCTATCACGCCCGGCTGATTTTTTTGATTTACTGTAGAGATGAGGTCTCGCCGCCCAGGTGGGTCTCGAACCTGCGGGCTCAGGCAATCCACTCACCTCAGCCTCCCAAAGGCGCGGGATTACAGGCTGAGCCACCGAGCCTGGCTTGTACACATCTTTTATTTAGGCATCTTTTAGTGGCTGACTTGGCTAGTTGTCCACTAAAACTCATGTGTTGTCACTGGGCAACAACTACCTAGGGAGAAAGTGTATTTTCCAGCCTTGCTTTAATCTAGGCATGATTAGCACAATAAGTGAAGTGACTGTGCCACTTTTGAACCCAGGTTCAAAAGGTATGTATGCTTTCTCCACAGTTTTTCCTTATACCAGCCAGATTCTGATGATCACCAGGCTAGGTGATGGTGGAACCATAAGATGGAAGGAGTCCTGGACTCTGAATTATTACTAAATGTACCATCATACATTTTGGGATCTTTTTTTTCCTAATAACTAGGGTTACTCTGACTCAAAGAGTGGTATTACTTTTAATACTCATAAAAATACTGGATGTATTTTTCCATTTATATACCACTAAGTTTATTACGAACCCTAGGTAAAGCACTAGAAAAAAACAGACAGTATTAAAGGCTCTCCGTGTTAAGAATATTCCTAAAACAGACTTTACCAATGCCTACTCTTTAGAGACTAAATTAAATACTTCACGATGATTTCATTAGATAACATTAGAAGAGTGGGGATAAGGGGAATGAAGGGAGGAGGTGAAGGGAGGGAAAGAGACTCAGAAACTACACTAAGGAAAAACATACCTGAACAATACCAAGAGTAGCCGAGGTAACTGGATCAGAAAAATCACCACCAGGTGGAGAAACACTAAATTTTTAAAAAAAGGGTCATTAGAAATGCTTAAGAAAAATAACGTGTGTGTGTGTGTGTGTGTGTGTGTGTGTGTGTGTGTGTGTGTGTGTGTGTGTGTGTAAAATGTCAAAAAAACAACAGATGCTGGAGAGGACGCAGGGAAAAGGGAACACTTCTACACTATTGGTGGGAGTGTAAACTAGTACAACCTCTGAGGAAAACAGTCTGGCAATTCCTAAAAGATCTAAAAATATGACCCTACAATCCCCCTACTGGGAATATACTCAAAGGAACTCGGATCACTCTATGAAAAAGATACCTGCACATGCGTGTTTACTGTAGCATTATTCACAACAGCAAAAACATGGAAACAACTGTGCTGCTCACTGAAAGAAGACTGGGTAAAAAAAAGTGGTACATAGCCACGACAGAATATTATGCAGCCATAAAGAAGGACAAAATTATGAAATTCACAGCAACTTGGATGAACTTAGAGTCTGTAATACTGAGGGATCCATCACAGAAACAAAGAACTCAGTTTCACATGTTTTCACTCCTAAGAGGACCCTGAACCAATTATCATAATACTACAAGAAAGGGATTGGCTGCAGTGGGAAATTGCTGGGGTGGCACACCTCATCAACAAGGGTACCTGCATAATGAACATTTGATATCTCACATCTTCAAAATAAAAAAAAAATTTTTAATGTTTTGAGTATATTTAAATGTAAACAACTTTAGGAACGATGTTTAAAAAGAAAAATTTACATACAAATCTTAAGCAATAGCCAGTATTTAAATTGCAAATAAGAATAAAACCTATTGAACACCTTCTAGTATGAGAAACGAGACAGGTATTTTATTGTAATCAGCTTATTCTAATTAGACAGATGAAGCAGGAAGGAAAGAAAAGCTCCAAGAACAAATAAAGTATGGCTTTATATAGTGATCATGAATCTTCACTTTGTTTTTACCATGATGTAATCTCACTTCAGTATATCTATAATTTTCTAAATTATTCCTAAGATGTTGTGACTTGAATATAATAAATCAGAGAAGCCAAATCTATGGAGCTAAAGCATACAGAGATGACCTAAGCATGTGCATCTTCAAAGAGATCCATAGGTAATTCTGGAGTGCATCTCTTGTTAAGAAGCACTGCTCCCAGCGGAAGCTAAATATTCTCTCTTTAAAACAACTTTTTTCTTTTGAAAAGTAAATAGTTTAAGGACTTACGCTCCTACAATGCTGACACTCCCTTCTCTTTCGGGATTTCCAAGACATTTCACCCTGCCTGCTCGCTCATAAAAAGAGGCCAGACGGGCACCAAGATAGGCAGGATATCCACTATCTGAAAAAGAAAAAGAAATTTAATAAAAAGTGATTCTAAGCCAACCCTCAGAATTCTGTTAGTCTTGCCTACATGATAACAATACAAAGACTTACCTGCAGGCATTTCAGCTAAACGACCAGAAATTTCTCTAAGGGCCTCAGCCCATCTAGAGGTAGAATCAGCCATCATACTGACATGATAGCCCATGTCACGGAAGTATTCTGACAGCGTAATTCCTAAATTGGGAAGAATATTACGACAAGTTACAATGCTAGAATATAAAATCTTGACTTGTTCACTCCTAAGAAAATTTAGAGCAATAAGTACATGAAGCAGACTGCTAGCTGTTTCCCCAAACTGTTCTTCCTCTTCTTCTGGACATACAGCTGAACTATATTTCCGAATGTCTTGTGCATTTAGATATGGCCATGTAACTGACCTCTGACTAATAAAATACGAGTCAAAATAATTGCTCTCTGAACTCTTGCCTGACCATAGAGCAAGATGTAGTTTGATAAACTCTTGCCTGACCATAGAGCAAGAGTAGTTTGATAAACATTACTCTTCCATATTCTTTCTTCCTTCTGGCCTTATTAAGATGGAGAGAACTCCCAGAAGCCCTGGAAACCATGTGTGAAAAATGGAAGAACACCTGTCAGCCTGGATCCCAGCCCAGAATGACAGAGTAAAGAGCCCCCTGAACACCTGAAATGAACACCTATTATACCGACTAAATACATATTTAGAATTATTTGATGCCATAGCCTACCCTAATATACTACTCATTCTAGAAAGCAGGAAAATACATTTCCCCTATTCTTTGTATAAATAATTAGTGTAAAGTTAATTTTCAAATATAGCTTCTGTCTATATATTACATACACATACGTGCATTCATAAATAACCCTTAACTACTTGCTTGGTTATTTTTCACAAGTAACACATGTTATTAACATGAGTAACATCTCAAGTTTCCAGATTATTCTGCTATGTAGATCAGGTCCTGTCCTGCAAATTGGCACATAGTAAACCCCTTACAAAAAGATAGTATACAGAAAGAAGTCCTGGGCTCCAGTTCCTGTTCTGTCATTAACCTTAGCAAAATAACTTGATTTCTCAGTGTGGTTTCCAAATATTTTGAAATGGAATAACTCCTGCCCTAAATACTTGGATATATCAGAGAAATATATACAAATGCCTTCCCAAATGTGGAAAGTACTATACAACTCTAAGATATTAGGAATGTACAGTTATTGCTACATTATTAAAGTTCCAAAATCTAATGCCCTGACTCCTTTATTTTATCAGTAAAAAAACAGAGGATAGGCCAGGCATGGTAGCTCACGTCTGTAATCCTAGTACTTTGAGAAGCTGCTGCAAGATGATTGCCTGTGCCCAGGAGTTTGAGACCAGCCTGGGAAACATGGCAAGACCTTGTCTCTACGGTAAATCAAAAAATTAGCCAGGCGTGGTGGTGCACATCTATAGTCCCAGCTACTTGGAAGGTTGAGGTGGAAGAATCACCTGAGCCCGGTAAATCAAGGCTGCGGTAACCATGAGCATGCCACTGCACTCCAGCCTGGGTGAGAGAGGGAGACTCCTACTCAAAAAAATATAATATAATGTAATAAAAATAAAATAGGCTTATATTAGTAAAATAAAATAGTGGAAAATTCAGCACTTTACTATTTATCATATTACATCTTTAGAATAAAAAATACTGACTTCTGAGGCTTCCATAAAACAGTTCAGAAACATTATTTATCAATATTAAGGGTTTAAAAACACAATAATTATCACATATTCCAATCTGATGCTGAAAATACATCTTTCTTTATACAAGCATGACTGTATTTTTAATCTGTGATGAAATGTCATGAATACTTGTGCATGATAAGAATTTTGTATAGCAGAAAGAATTGGTAGAAAGGGCAGATACACAGGAGTAAATGGGAACTCTCTCTCAGACTTACAGACATCAGTGCCTAAAAGAAAAATACACCGTAGACAAAATCAAAAGACAAACAAACTGGGACATAATAGCAACTCATGATAGCGGATTAATCTGCCTATTAATGAGAGGGCTTTTACAAATCAGTTTGATAAACAGCCACCATTCAAAAGCAAAAAGGAAAGAAGGCTGTTTTTATTTTTATTTATTTATTTATTTATTTATTTATTTTTTTGAGTTGGAGTCTCACTCGGTCACCC